TTTGAAAAGGAATAGAATATATATTAAGATCGTATTGTGCTAGGAGAAAATATTAGCCACGCTGTGGCTGTATGAAAAATATTCTATTGATTAGAACAGTTGCTATAGCATCAAAGTCAAACATTCGCTGAAAATACTGCAGAGAATGTAATGCAGTCACTCTCAAGGTTGTTTTCTGTCTAGATGAAATAAAATAACAGGTACACTGATTCAGAGAGTGACAGGAAAAATGGCATTTGGAAGCAACTGTTAACACGTTGTCTACTGGTAACGAGAAATCTCGTTTCTCTATAAAGACACTTAGCTATGGAACTTTGTTAACTCTTTGCGGTTGTGTGTCTGTTCTCAGAAGAAACTTCATTATTGTATGAAATTTGTCGAAAGTTTTAAGAAAATAATACATTTCGTTTACCATTTTAATTTAGTTTAATGTGATTTTAATATTTTGTTTCATTACGTTGCTATCGTTCACACATACGTATACAATTAATACAACGAAGAATTAATTATCATTGTTCAACACGATTTTTGTTTTGTAATAGCCACTAGGTGATCCTTAGAGTTCCTTGTCCTAAATACAAAATAAAACTAAATTCACGTCCAGTTTTCGGAAAACATGGGTTTTTGTAAAAACAATCGAATTTTTCAGAGACACAAGTGTTATATAAAAACTAGAAACGATAAGCAGTTAAAATTTGTCGTAAAAAATAAAAGAGAATTGTCCGAATATGTAACCATACAAATTTCGAATATTGTTTATTATTAAATGCTTAAATGATGATCAAAGTTTAAAAATCTCTGATGATAAAATATTAAATTTCATTCGAATTGATTATCTATTTAAAATATATTACATAACAATATGAATATCGATATAAATTGATCTCACTAAAAATCGAATTCCGAATTTTTTGTGGATTATACTAATTCTTCTCTTATTTGTTTGAAGATCTAACTGATACAGAGGCTTACGACAAAGTAGTGCAAGTTGTCAGTGAGAAAGTGGGATCTGATGGGTTGAATGTTTTGTTCAACAATGCTGGAGTCAGCCCGAAATTCACACGACTCCCTCTTGTGAAAGAAGAACAACTTACGGAAACGTATTTCGTAAATACTGTAACACCGATTTTACTGACGAAAGTAAGTTTCTTCTATAACAATTTATAATAATTAGAATTATGATTAAATAAACAATAATAGATAAAAATGAAATCTGTGTATAACGCACAATGCAAATATACACGATAAAAGCAATAAAGATTTACTGTACTTATTTGTTTTAAAAAGAAATTAATATTTAATGGTGGTTTACCTTTAATACTTTGTATACTGTAAATTTAATACTTTGGTAACTAAGGTTTATATTTAATTAGTTTGTTTATTATAGAATACAACATTTGATTTGGCACAATATTGTTTCTTCCTTAAAACTTGTTTAGCTATGATCTGAGATTTATTCAAATTGTGTCTCTAACATGTGTACTAACTTTCACGAATGCTAACACTTCCCACCAAATTTAAGCTTGTCATTTCTATTAAGTATGAGAATATTAATTTTATAAATTTTAAGGCACTTTTGCCACTCCTGAAAACAGCAGCTAACAATTATGAGGACAAGACAAAGATGAATGTCAACAGATCTGCAATTATCAACATGAGCTCTGTCCTTGGAAGCATTGCAGACAATACTTCAGGTGGATTTTATCCTTACAGATGTAGCAAGGTAATATCTATTTATTTTATTAAAAGGTAATTATTTAAATGTATAGGTCTATTATAAGCATTATCTATTCTTTAGGCAGCGCTCAATGCAGCAACAAAATCAATGAGTATTGATTTTAAGGAGGATGGAATCCTAGTTGCTTGTTTGCATCCAGGTTGGGTACGTACGGATATGGGAGGGAATAATGCACCTATGGACGTTGATTCTAGTGTGAAAAATATACTCAATACATTAAGCATATTAACTGAGAACCATACAGGCTGTTTCATTCAACACGATGGAAAAATTTTGCCTTGGTAAATGCTCTGTTTAATTATTGAAATTTAATAATACAACAAGAGCTAAGATTAATATTTTTATGTGGAATTTTATCTTTATTTTACATTTTTATATAAACATCACTTTTTTTCTAAGAAATCTGTACAACTTAACATAATTTTAATTTTTCTGTATACATTAAATGCAAATATTTTGTACTGTGTTAAATACAAAAGCTTTGTTCAATCTATTAAAATTAATGTATTAATAAGGATAATAAACTTGATTTCACAGTTAAATATTCTCCTTTGCATAGCCTATAATAAGTGGAAAATATTAAAATAATAGTAAATAAAAGTTCATATACAGTTATCATACAGAAGTTATAATATCTACTTTATATAATAGTTTTATTTCAAAACACACACTCAATATTATAAATGTTAAGTATAATAATTCTCAAAGAAATAAAGACAATTATAATTTCATGAACAGTCTTCTTATTCATTTTAGAAAATTTGTATAAACATAAATTGAAATGTTCACAATTACTTTGTTTTATTTATAAATGTCAAAGCCTATTTTGTACATGACACGGTGCTATAACATAATCTGAAGGAATGCAAATTTGTCCTAGAATATTAAATTGCAAAAGAAAACGATATTTCAAATATGTACAATCATTGTCAATTAGCAAAATCTATGGAACATATGATTATATTTTAAAGTATAAATACCATACAGATAAATGTAATAATCTATATATATATGTATACATATATATAAGATTTTTGAGATACTATTTTACAGCAAAAATAAATGTACCATTATCTATTGTACATTTTTATGATTACAATGCTTTGTGTTTTGCAATCACTTTTTTAAGATGTAACTATTTGGTAAATAAAAATGTTGTATATACTTCAAGAATGAAATAATACTGTGATCACACAATGATTGTTAAGAATGTACAATCCGTTTTCAATAATGAGATCTTACGTGCTTTTATTTCCTTCAAAACAGATCTTAAAACGGACTGAACATTCAACAGAAATTTTTTTATTAGTCTATTAATTGTTTTAGTTTCTAAATTGAAATATGGAAATTTAAAACAAATGCACATATAAAAAAATAATATCATAAAATTATTCTGTTCTTTGATACATGAAACTTGTAACTAAACATGAATTAAAATGGAAAATGAATACAGTTCTTTCAATCTGATCGGCGACAATTATGATTAAAGGTAATTTTATCGTGTGCAAATTTGTAAAAGATATAAATGATTTCCTAAATACCTCAGTTTCCAAATAACAGTCATAGAATAAGTTTTAATCAGTCTTTAACCTTTTAGATGTTGGTTCGCTATTTTGCGAATTTGAATCTTCTGAAAATCCCAAATGCGCAGAAAAGTCTGTTAATCCTTGAGAATCACTAACCGTTGAAAAACCTAAAATATTAAACAATTTTGTTTTCATTTAAATGTCTGATCAATAATGATACACGTCTGAAGTATTGAAGCAGTTGAACTCACATGTATTAGAGTCTTCTGTAAGTCCGAAATTGGAATTTGAAGAATCTAATCCACTTTTTCTTGGCAAACCATTTTCTTTATCTGCAACAGTCTTTCCCTTCTTCTTCTATAAAAATTAAAACATATTTACTTTCTATTATTACATACATTTCAAATATACCCACCTGATCAAGCGTTGAAATAGGCACCCACTTATAAATCTTCATAGTCGTTTCCCCTATTGTGACCCATTTCTTCTCCCTATAAAAGTGTCCTCATGAAAGACATATTTTTCAGATCAATATTGTAACAACAGATAGAGAAGCTACCTTCTTTACTGTTATTAAAAAAGCAGACATAGAACACTATTACTCAATCAACACACGTGAAATTTTTCAGAATTATACAGGTTTGTTTACAGCTGACATGTGTAATGCAAAATTTGTATTGAATCACGTAAACAATAAAAATTTTCATCCATTACAAATATCCGACATTATTTTACTACTTTATTATTTTTTTTTTATATATTTTTTGTGAGTGTTTTTAATAATTCCTCGTGCGTCTATAATATGTTAAGAGATTTACCAATGGCGAACTTTGTCAACAACTTGCATTACACGCTTAATATCATCCTTGGCACGACTACGAGTCTCTGCACGCACTGACCGCGACATCATGTTATGCGATTATAATTCACTATTAATTGAACACAACACAAAACACCGGGACATTCGTCGGTGAAGAGGTTAGGAAACTGACAGCAGTCGCGAATTTCGACAGTACAGTCGTAAACGTCTTTGGATTCAAGATAAGAACAGGAACTATACAATCATAACAAGATGATATGCTGTGTTAGTCACAGGGGTGCGGAGGGAATGGCGGAAACCAGTGACACTCAATACTATACCAACACATTCATTGTTAAAAAAATATTTCGAATACTTTCATTCGCTGAAACTATATGTACAAAATATTTCTAATAATAACAGATGTTACTACTTATATTTTACAGTAATAAAAGTTCAAAGTAGTTATATTAACGTGAACACCACTACTATGTATTTTTGAATATTCAAAGTTCAAATGTTTAACGGCACGAATCAGGTTTGATTGGTTGTTGGCCACACATATGTCTGTTATTGATCGAAATAACAATATCAATGGTTCATAGTATTTAAAATGTAAACCGTAACTCACAAATAAGTATTCTTTGAACAAGTACTTTTTAAAGAAATAGTTTATTTATTGTCCTTATGTTTGTTAATTACTAAAGATTTAAATGTTGTATAAAAAAATTAAAGCTGAAATTGTATCCTTGCAAACAGTGATTATAAATAAAATATTTGTCATCAGACGTCTGCATAAAAATAAAAATAGTGAACTAGTGAAAATGGCATAGTAAGAGGTGTCTAACTTAGTTTCCTTACACTGGTAACTAGGAAACAGTGTTCCCCACTACCTCTATTTTAGGAGTTGGCTAAGATTGTGTATGTAAGTAGTTCTATGGATGTTCAATATAAATAGGGAAAAGTAGATATGGAGAGGGTAACTTTTTGTGAGGGGAGTATTACTATAGTGACTATAGTACTAGACACTTTTGATTTAAGTACCATACGTAAGGAAGAAAGAAAGGCAAGTTTCCATTGCATTAGAGAAATGACATCAGTGCAAAAATATTGTACTATATTTGTAAGTTTTTAAATTTTAATAATCAAAATGTTGTTGTCATGTCATAATGATATCTATCGTAGTTACATTTTTATGTAATTGAAGTATGTTAATCGTTTAAAATTTTAAATTTAATCTGTTATTTTCATTTGTGTAATTAAAGGAAAACGTAGTCGTTAACCTAAACATTGATAAAAACACAAAATATGTCCGAATCAAAAGAAGCAACTGAATCTGTTCCAGTCAAAGAAAAAGAAAAATCTGAAGAATTACGTAAATTTGAATGGATGGTATCGTTTTATAATTTTTATAATTGTATAAGTCATTTAGCATAAAGGAATATGACTAGTGTTTTGTACGTTTTAGATAAGACCATGTGAAGTATATAAAGATGAATATGTTGATTGTAGAAGTATGAAAGCAAGGTTTCATCAATATTTTGTATTGGGAAAACTAATTGATTGTGAACATTGGATTAGTGATCATCGTGATTGTTATCGTTGGTTAAAAGATGATTCTGATGAGGCGCTTGTATGTTAATAATTTTAATTATAATCTACTCGTTTTTTAATTATATTATTAACCAAAGTTACTATTATAAATACAGGCAAATATACTAGAACATGAGAAGCAACGTAGAATAGAAAGATTAGGAGGTCACTATAGAAATGATGTTTGGAAAAAAAGGGACAAACCACCAGAACAATGGAATGCTCCATTACCTGAGTGGTTACAAAAGAAATATCAAAATTCATTTTTGATGATTGTAAGTAAAGAAAATGAAGAGTCTAGTACAGGAAGATCTTGTATTATATCGTAGGAATATCAAATAATAAAAGTATAGTAAAATAAATTATTATTGAAAACCTTAAAAATTAATATATGGTTTTATTAAATATACAAATCATCGAATTAATTTGCCTTGAATTTGATGCTGCAGTTTATACATATTTCAAAGTATCTAATAATTAAAAGTAAATTTATTGATTACATACTATATTGAGACTGCACAATGTACATAATAAAACTTCAATGAGTACATTAATAAATCATTTAAAACATATTTTCCAATCATTCCATTTCTAAAAGCAATAATATTTATATGATCAATAATCTCAATCAAGTTAATACAAAAATATATATTTTTTGCAATGCCAATTAAATGTTTAACAAATTCATAAGTACAGGTTATACTTTCTTTAACTGAGAAATAATGCTCGGAAAAATAAATACTAAAAACGAAGAGGATTACTCAGGACATTTAAATACATGTTTTTAAATTTTCAAAATAGTTTATATATTTTACAAATACCATATTTGCGAAGCAGGAATTTCTTTATTCTATAAATAAAAACTAACTTAAAAAGATTTTAATCTTTCCACTTTAATTACACGATAAAACGAACACCTAAAAGAATCATGAAACTACTTATAAAAACATTAATATCCCACTCAGATAATGTAAAGTACAATAATATAATTTCAACTTCAAACTCATGATTTACCTCGCACAAATTCAAAAGCTTCACCGTACGATTACACATAAAGGAACAAGAAGCCTTCGAAAGGAGTTCCAAAGAGGCTATAATAAAGAAAAACTCGAAAGAGACATGCACATTAGTACGAATTTACCTAAAGAGTATCGGGAATTGTGCACGATAAAGAAGAAAAGGCGGTGTAGTATACGCAGACGAAACAACGAGCGCAAAGCTCCGTGTCGGACATGCGCAGTACACTGCCCGTTGAATTCCGTTACGCACTTTTCTTCCGTTACGAGAGTCAATCCGCAAGTGGCTAGTGGTAAAAGGAAAGGTAAAAAGCGACGCCGGACTTAAAGAAGCGGGAGAGATAGTGTTTTAAACGTCGCGGCAAATCCTCCCCACTTCTCGAAGGAACACACACCAGAGGAACGCGTCGTCCTATCGGGCCTGTAGTGTTACGTTCTTACGCGATGTTGAGTGAGTGACGTAACCTAAATACAAATATCGCCTATCGCCGATCAAGCCTGATTAAAGGAGAATCATAATAAAAAACCGACAGTTTGATTCAGAGTAGAATACATAGGCACGTGCACTTCTACAGACGCACAGAAACACATTTTCTCTCTCCTCTACTTCCGTTCTAGTGTTTCCGTGTGCGGTAATCTAACTCGGCGAGCGAGTTACAGCCACCGCGTACAGTGTTAACGTCTTCGCAAACGGTTCGAAGCCGTTGTCTTCTAGCGGAGGTCCGCGGAAAAGTTCCCTTTGTGCGAGAGAAAATTAAGTGTCGCGTGCTCGCCAATTTCTCTTTTGAGGAAGATAGAAAACCATGGCGGAAGATTGCATCGATGCCGATTATCTCGGTGCTTACAGCCGTTTTTTCACTGAATTCATCGCCAGGGTGAACCCGTACGATCAGCTGCCTGTCACAGTCAGCTCGTACAATGTGACAGACGCCGAGATCGTCGGCGAGATCATTAACGTGACTCTACAGTACCTCAACCAAACGTAAGTGAATGTACTTTTAAACGAGCGATATTGTAATGTGTCAATGCGTGGGTGGACGACGGTCGTGTTTATTCGTTGATAGCGGCCGGCGTCGGATGTAAATACAC